AACCATGATTATACCAACAACCAACAAACCCAAAAACCATGATTATACCAACAACCAACAAACCATGATTATACCCAAAAACCAACAAACCATGATTATACCCAAAAACCTGGAAGTTGAACACAAACCTGGAAGTTGTCACAAACCTGGACACAACAACAAACCCAAAAACCATGATTATACCAACAACCAACAAACCCAAAAACCATGATTATACCAACAACCAACAAACCCAAAAACCATGATTATACCAACAACCAACAAACCCAAAAACCATGATTATACCAACAACCAACAAACCATGATTATACCCAAAAACCAACAAACCATGATTATACCCAAAAACCTGGAAGTTGAACACAAACCTGGAAGTTGTCACAAACCTGGACACAACAACAAACCCAAAAACCATGATTATACCAACAACCAACAAACCCAAAAACCATGATTATACCAACAACCAACAAACCCAAAAACCATGATTATACCAACAACCAACAAACCCAAAAACCATGATTATACCAACAACCAACAAACCATGATTATACCCAAAAACCAACAAACCATGATTATACCCAAAAACCTGGAAGTTGAACACAAACCTGGAAGTTGTCACAAACCTGGACACAACAACAAACCCAAAAACCATGATTATACCAACAACCAACAAACCCAAAAACCATGATTATACCAACAACCAACAAACCCAAAAACCATGATTATACCAACAACCAACAAACCCAAAAACCATGATTATACCAACAACCAACAAACCATGATTATACCCAAAAACCAACAAACCATGATTATACCCAAAAACCTGGAAGTTGAACACAAACCTGGAAGTTGTCACAAACCTGGACACAACAACAAACCCAAAAACCATGATTATACCAACAACCAACAAACCCAAAAACCATGATTATACCAACAACCAACAAACCCAAAAACCATGATTATACCAACAACCAACAAACCCAAAAACCATGATTATACCAACAACCAACAAACCATGATTATACCCAAAAACCAACAAACCATGATTATACCCAAAAACCTGGAAGTTGAACACAAACCTGGAAGTTGTCACAAACCTGGACACAACAACAAACCCAAAAACCATGATTATACCAACAACCAACAAACCCAAAAACCATGATTATACCAACAACCAACAAACCCAAAAACCATGATTATACCAACAACCAACAAACCCAAAAACCATGATTATACCAACAACCAACAAACCATGATTATACCCAAAAACCAACAAACCATGATTATACCCAAAAACCTGGAAGTTGAACACAAACCTGGAAGTTGTCACAAACCTGGACACAACAACAAACCCAAAAACCATGATTATACCAACAACCAACAAACCCAAAAACCATGATTATACCAACAACCAACAAACCCAAAAACCATGATTATACCAACAACCAACAAACCCAAAAACCATGATTATACCAACAACCAACAAACCATGATTATACCCAAAAACCAACAAACCATGATTATACCCAAAAACCTGGAAGTTGAACACAAACCTGGAAGTTGTCACAAACCTGGACACAACAACAAACCCAAAAACCATGATTATACCAACAACCAACAAACCCAAAAACCATGATTATACCAACAACCAACAAACCCAAAAACCATGATTATACCAACAACCAACAAACCCAAAAACCATGATTATACCAACAACCAACAAACCATGATTATACCCAAAAACCAACAAACCATGATTATACCCAAAAACCTGGAAGTTGAACACAAACCTGGAAGTTGTCACAAACCTGGACACAACAACAAACCCAAAAACCATGATTATACCAACAACCAACAAACCCAAAAACCATGATTATACCAACAACCAACAAACCCAAAAACCATGATTATACCAACAACCAACAAACCCAAAAACCATGATTATACCAACAACCAACAAACCATGATTATACCCAAAAACCAACAAACCATGATTATACCCAAAAACCTGGAAGTTGAACACAAACCTGGAAGTTGTCACAAACCTGGACACAACAACAAACCCAAAAACCATGATTATACCAACAACCAACAAACCCAAAAACCATGATTATACCAACAACCAACAAACCCAAAAACCATGATTATACCAACAACCAACAAACCCAAAAACCATGATTATACCAACAACCAACAAACCATGATTATACCCAAAAACCAACAAACCATGATTATACCCAAAAACCTGGAAGTTGAACACAAACCTGGAAGTTGTCACAAACCTGGACACAACAACAAACCCAAAAACCATGATTATACCAACAACCAACAAACCCAAAAACCATGATTATACCAACAACCAACAAACCCAAAAACCATGATTATACCAACAACCAACAAACCCAAAAACCATGATTATACCAACAACCAACAAACCATGATTATACCCAAAAACCAACAAACCATGATTATACCCAAAAACCTGGAAGTTGAACACAAACCTGGAAGTTGTCACAAACCTGGACACAACAACAAACCCAAAAACCATGATTATACCAACAACCAACAAACCCAAAAACCATGATTATACCAACAACCAACAAACCCAAAAACCATGATTATACCAACAACCAACAAACCATGATTATACCCAAAAACCTGGACACAACAACAAACCCAAAAACCAACCTGGAAGGAAATCACAAACCCAACAACAAACAAGAACATCTTTTAGCAACCAGGAATGAAATCACAAACCCAACAACCAAAAACAGAAGGAAATCAAAACATCTTTTAGCAACCACAAACCATAACATCTTTTAGCATCCTGGAAGGAAATCACAAACCCAAATATGTAATCAACACAAACTCAAATATGTAATCAATCACAAACATCTTTTAGCCTCCTGGAAGGAAATCACAAACTCAAATTATGTAATCAACGCAAGCTGCAAGCACATTCAGTGTAACACCTTTGCGGCCTCGAAATTATGCAACAAGATTAATCGAAAGCATTGCATCAACATGAGTCTCATCTATCATACCAATGCAATCCTATAATACGTGTATCACATTACTAAGTTATCATTTATTTTTATTGCTTATACATGTAACTGTGGTTAAAATGTAGATATACCTTGAAATAAGGATAGTATAGCTGGTTGTTAACGATCTCTTGGGGAGTATCATTGATGGCTTGTCTCATGTAGCGTCCACGCAAACAGATAATTGCTTGTAAAACCTTGTTGAAATATCTACTGACTGTCTCCCCTGATCTTATGAAATGAGATCTCACAATGCGATTTTTAGATTTATGACCCAAAATATTTAGTGTCATGATAAGTTGTTCTTCCACTGATATATTCCTTGAGTCTTTTAGAAGCATATTGTTCCTCATTATACTTACTAGCTTAACAAAAGCACCACTCCGCATTCTAATATAATTCACACAACTATCACTAAAACCATTATAAATACGCTCTATATGTTCAATTCTAGACCTCTCTTGTCTTTTTTTTTCCTCACTTGGACCACGACGTATAGATTTACGTCTAGCTTGCATTCTCCTTATGAATGTAATTATTATAACAAGAACGGATAGTGCAGCACCTTGAACCACATTAACAACACTTTGTTCATCGGTACAATCCCCATCACCATCCATCTACGATGCAAAAATCAAATTGAAATAATTAATATACCTACCAAGCATTCATATGCAATGTCAATAATCAAAACTTAAACTGAAGGAACAACCAGCAACAACCCTGGACACAACAACAACCAACGACACAACAACACAACTCTGGACACAACAACAACCAGACACAACAAACCTGGACACAACCAACACAACCAGCAACTGAAGGAACAACCAGCAACAAAACTGGACACAACCAACAGCAACTGAAGGAACAACCAGCAACAACCCTGGACACAACAACAACCAACGACACAACAACACAACTCTGGACACAACAACAACCAGACACAACAAACCTGGACACAACCAACACAACCAGCAACTGAAGGAACAACCAGCAACAAAACTGGAGACAACAACAACCAACAACACAACAACAACCAGACAACAACACAAACCTGGACACAACCAACAGCAATTGAAGGAACAACCAGCAGCAACAACCCTGGACAAAATTTTTAAAAATTCTTTTTGAGTTGAGAATCATACCTTAGGTCTGAAATCAGTTTCCAGGAAGATTAAAGTCGGCAAAACCCCCAAATTTTTCCCAATAAAGGCGCTGATAAAATCCAGCAAGCCACGAAATCCAGCAAAAAACCCCCGCAAGCCACGAAGATAACCCCCGCAAGCCCACGAAATCCAGCAAAAAACCCCCGCAAGCCACGAAGATAACCCCCGCAAGCCAGGAAGAGAACCCAAGGCGCGAAGAGTGAAAAAGCGAGGGAAA